GAGCAGCAGCTGCCAGCCTGGAGCGGCCAGGCCCGAGCAGCCGGGTCTGGTGTGGCCAGGCCCGGAGCAGCAGCTGCCTGGCTGGGAGCGGCCAGGCCTGGAGCAGCCGGGTCTGGTGCGGCCAGGCCCAGAGCAGCAGCTGCCAGGCTGGGAGTGGCCAGGCCAGGAGCAGCGGCTGCCAGGCTGGGAGCAGCCAGGCCTGGAGCAGCTGGGTTGGGTGCGGCCAGGCCCGGAGCAGTGGTTGCCAGGCTGAGAGCGGCCAGCCCCGGAGCAGCCGGGTCGGGAGCGGCCAGGCCCGGAGCAGCAGCTGCCAGGCTGGGAACGGCCAGGCCCGGAGTAGCGGCTGCCAGGCTGGGAGCGGCCAGGCCCAGAGCAGTGGCTGCCAGGCTGGGAGCGGCCAGGCCCGGAGCAGCCGGGTCGGGTGCGGCCAGGCCCGGAACAGCTCGCTCCTCGCCTGCCCCTGCCCCATGGCTGCCTCTCAGACATGGCTGAAACTTTCGCGGGAACTTGAGGGTCTGCTGAATCAAGTGATGAAGGCTTAGATCTGGATGTGTTGAGTTAGTATAGGGTTGGGGTGTTGATCTGTGAGTGCCTTGGGTGGGGCCTGGATGAGGCTGGTGTACTTATTGGGAAATGTCTTTTGTGTGAAGTGTATCATTGGGCATGTGGAGGTATTATTGATATGAGAAAATGCTAAGTAACTGATTTACTATCTGAAAAGGGATTCACTATCGGGGAAAGGGAGGGAGGAAGAGACTGAACATAAACTGTGCACCTATGGATGAGGACAATGGGGGATGGGGAGGGGGCGGAGGGTGGGGTGGGTACCTGGTGGAGGGGGGAAGAAATGAGGAACCTTTGTAATAATATGAACAATAAAGATTGATTAAAATAAATAAATAAATAAATAAATAAATAAATAAATAAATAAATAAAATAAAGTTGGCCCTGGAACAGGAAGGGCTGCTGGGGTACAAGGAGGGTTGCTGGGGTGTAGGAGAGGCTGCTGGGAGCAGGGAGGGCTTCTGGGAGCAGGGAGGGCTGCTGGGAGTAGGGAGGGCTGCTGTGGTGCAGGGAGGATTGCTGAAGTGCACAGGGCATCACCCTCTCCGCCAGATGCTGGTCCAGGGAAGCACTGGTCTCTTAAGGGCTTAGCCAGCATGTATAATAATATGCACACAATAAACTTCAGGCATTGCTAAGGATCATCAATAAAGATTTGCTTCCTTAAACGGCTTCCCAATCCAGTTCTATTTGAAACCCCCACCCAAGGGCCTTGTCTGAGTTGAGAAATAAAAAATTGTCTTCTAAACATAGCTACTTGATGTCTAACTTTGGTAGTCCCTGCCTATTTCCTCATTGCCAATAAAGTTATTGAAATTGAAATATACCACCTGTGTGAGAGTTTGTATCAAAAAGACAGATGACGCTGGTGCGGGTAGTGGCAGAGTCACCCTGCTCCGCGGTAATCCATGCACCAAAGGTTCTCGGCGCCAGGATAGGCAATCCACGCCAGAGCCCATTCCTTCCCTGAAGCAGCAGAGACAACCTCACAGCCCACCAACGCCCTGCCACTGGCTGGAATAGAAGCAACAGGTTCTGTTGGCGATATGTGTGCACATGTTTGTACGTGCATGTATATGCCTGTGTACATATGTGTGTGTGTCCAGTATATGTATGTATATATTACCCACTTTTCAAAAGTTCATGCTACACCACTTCACTTCTACAAAAGACCCACATTAGTACCTGTTTTCACAAACCGAAAGCAATAAGAGGACTTTCACTTTTAAGAAAGCAAGGAGAAAGGGAAAATAACGTCAGCATTTGTTTTGCTCGAGTGGCTAGCGGCGGCCCCAGCACCTCAGGAAGCAGGGCTGCCAGTGTCTGGCCTCATCTCCACAGTTTTGGGCATCTTGGCAAGACGGGTCCTTGGGAATCGGAAAAGCCTCGGGGAGCGTGTAAGGGTGTTGCTGAAGTAAAACGGTTCCACGTAAAGCTGTCATATCTAGAGACCAGGAAGCGACTCCTTCCTCCCCTGGCAGATTTCCAACCAGAGAGCTGTCTTCCGCGCGTCCACTTCCCACCTGCTCAGAGAAGGGCAGTGTTACTCTAAGGCTTCCTGGGCCTCCGCTGGGGGTTGTGGAGAGTGGGGGCTGTGTTTCTTACTCGGTGCCTGTCAGTATAGAACATCCACAAAGGAATAGAGTGCTATGCAAAAAGCACAGAAAATAAGAATGCTCTCAGATTTAAAAAAATATGAATGCCAAAATTAAAAATTAAATAGGACTAAACATAAAGTTAAAAATCCCAGAGCATAGTATAAAAAGGGACTAATGAGACAGCATTTAAAAATATATCCTGGAAAAGAAAGGAAAAATGAAGGCCCAATGGGTGAGTCCAGCACCGACCTGATTGATCAGGAGGGAGAAACAAATACAGGTGTGGATCAGAGACATTTCCAGTTGGGATGTACGTGGCTTCGGATTTAAAAGACCCACCAAGCATCCAGCCAATAAAGGAGAAAAGACCCAAATAGAGCTACACCCCTATACAGACATTTGCAGAGAGAAACTATCAAACCGCTAATAGGCAAAAGATTGTCACCTACGAAGGAAAAAAATCCAATCTACTTGCAGTCTCGTCCCAGCAATGCCGATGCCAGAGGAGGCACCTCCCAGCTTCCTGGAAATGACTCTGGCCTGCACGCAGCAGCCAGCAGGAAGGCAGAAGGTTCCAGGTGAGCAAGGATTCAGAAAGCCCTTTCTTGGCAAGTGTTTTAAGGATATTGTCACAGTGGTCGGCAAACCGCGGCTCACGAGCCACATGCAGCTCTTTGGCCCCTTGAGTGTGGCTCTTCCACAAAATTCCACCCACGTGCAGGTGTGCACGTACAGTGCGATTGAAACTTTATGGGCCATGCGCAGAAGTTGGTTTTCCGCTCTCAAAAGCAATTTTCAATCGTTGTACTGTTGATATTTGGCTCTGTTGGCTAATGAGTTTGCCGACCACTGGTCCAGAAAAATAAAGGAAATTAAGACAGAAGATGACATAGGTTAGGAACATGAGATGAAGAGATACTGCCCACACTTGATAGAAGGCCCTACAGACACATAAGTATATTTTCATAGTTACAACGGTCACTCAATGAAGTTATTATAAAAATGGCAAATCGAGAAGCAGGTGCAAAGGCTTCAGGAGGGGATCCTTGGGAGAAAGGATCATCTTCGGAAAGAAAGTGTGATTGAGAAACCAGAAGAAGGCTCGCTGTGCTGGTGGAGAAATGAAAACGGCAACAAGAAGCTTCCAGGAAAACACAGAGAGCCGCCGGGAAAGCAAGGGCAGCACCCGGAGCCGCTGTGATAGGGCATGTGGTTGGCATCGGAGCCGACGAGCTGTCAGTGTAGGTGCCATGGGACTGTGACGCTGGCGTGTGCTCCTCACACAGAAATCCCTCTGGGATCAAGTACACCAGGCGGGAAGATGGGATTCCACCAGACAACCCGACTCAACCCTGAGCAATGCGATGTAGACATAAGAATCTTAACTTTTCATGGTAGTTACCTCCTTCAATCCAACTGATAAAAGGCATAGGAGCTTGGTAGTGGATTCAGGAAAGGACATAAATATTAATGACAGGCGTGGTGGATGACAGTATGAATGTGAAAGGGGAGAGAGGAGGTGAGGGGTGGGGAGAGGTACCAAGTTCATATTTTACAATGTTGAAGAGATATTGTCTATATTTGATAGAAGGCCATACAGACATATAAGTATATTTTTATAGTTACAATGGTCACTCAATTAAATTATTTAAAAAATAGTGAATCAAAATCATTAGGAAGAGAGTGAGGTCAAGCAGAGTGAGCTAAACCTCGTCTTTCACATGGTGAGGCCAGCAGATAGTGTCTCTAATGGCTAAACCAGAAAATTAGACATAAGTAACTCTCTGGTTATGGGGTAAACATCAGCAAAACCCAAACCACAAGATGGCAAGAAGAGGGCTGATGTCCCTGATATATATATAAAGAGAGAGAGAAAGAGAGAGAGAGAGAGAGAGAGAGAGAGAGAGAGATATCAATGTGAGAGAGACACGTTGACTAGTTGCCTCCTGCACACACTTGGGCCGGAGATCAGAACCTGCAACCCAGGTCAGTGCCCTTGACCTTGAATGGAACCCGAGACCCTCCAGTCAGCCGCTGACACTCTAACCACTGAGCACCCCGGCCAGGGATCTTCTAAAAGAGCTTACCTTTGGGTAGAGTTTCCTTCTTTCCAGCAACACTGGCTACCCAAGAGGTCTCGGGTCTAGGTAGAGTGGATACGGGTCTACAGGATCTACCCGCTTATGTCTTACAACCGCACGTGACTCTGCCTATGTGTCTCAGAATAAGCTAAATTAATGTCACGGTGGCAGCTGCCTGGACTCACTACTCTGAATACCTGCTGGGAGCTCCTACGTGCAGGCCTGCCGGGCGGGGAAGCCCGCTTCCCCACACTTTCCCTCTGCCGGGTTGCTGGGAATTCGTTATTAAATCCGTGCTCATTATTTGATGGTGATTAGAAAGTACTCACTTACTAATCCATTGCAAACCAGGTCTGATTAGGTGTCTCTGTTACTTCACAAGAGTCACAGTGTTTGTGAACAGCAAACCTTGTCCCGCACGGTAACTGGGTGATCCCCTTTTCTCTCCACCAGGCTTCGATACCCGCGGGGTTAAAGGCTCAGCTCAGCAGGTCTAACTCCTCTCCTCTGCCCCCTGCCAGGTGGGAGAGCGTCCACTGGGAAGCTGCGCCACAGGCCGCGGGCTGAGCCGGTGGATGTCCCTGAGGAGTCACAGATCCTGGCGGATGCTCCCCGAGGAAGGCGCTTCCCGGACCCTCCCGCGGCCCCGGAGAGCCAGGGCCGCGGGGGATGCAGGCAGCCGGCGGCCCGGCGGCCCCCAAGGCGCTGAGGGGCGCCCCGCCGGCGGTCCTGCCTAGACCGGCAGCTTCCCTCCAGGATGTCCTGCAACCGCTCCGCGGAGCCCTTTGAGCACCTGCTGCCCAACGGCAGCCACGCGTGGGCGGCGGCGGCGGCGGCGCCCCTCCGCGGCTGCCTGGCGGGCGTCCTGGTGCTGATGATCGCCGTGGGCTTCCTGGGCAACTCGGTGGTCTGCGTCATCGTGTACCAGCGGCCGGCCATGCGCTCCGCCATCAACCTGCTGCTGGCCACGCTGGCCTTCTCCGACATCATGCTGTCGCTGTGCTGCATGCCCTTCGCGGCCGCCACGCTGGTCACCGTGCGCTGGCGCTTCGGCGACTCCTTCTGCCGCCTGTCGGCGGCGCTCTACTGGCTCTTCGTGCTGGAGGGCGTGGCGGCGCTGCTCATCATCAGCGTGGACCGCTTCCTGCTCATCGCGCAGCGCCAGGACCGCCTCACGCCGCGCCGCGCCAAGGCCGTCATCGCCGCGTCCTGGGCGCTGTCCCTGTGCGTGTCGGCGCCCGCGCTGGCCGGCCGGCCGCCCGTGGAGGTGCCGGCGCGCGCGCCGCAGTGCGTGCTGGGCTACACCGAGCTGCCCGCCGGCCGCGCCTACGCCGTGACGCTGGTGGTGGCCGCCTTCTTCGCGCCCTGCGGCGTCATGCTGGCCGCCTACCTGGGCATCCTGCGCGCCGTGCGCCGCAGCGCCGTCCGCGTGCGCAACCAGTCCGACAGCCTGGACCTGCGGCAGCTCGCCCGGGCGCGGGCCGGCCTGCGGCGCCGGCAGCAGCAGGTCAGCCTGGACCTGAGCTTCAAGACCAAGGCCTTCACCACCATCCTCATCCTCTTCGTGGGCTTCTCCCTGTGCTGGCTGCCGCACGCCGTCTACAGCCTCCTGTCCGTGTTCAGCCGGCGCTTCTACTGCAGCCCGTCCTTCTACACCACCAGCTCCTGCGTGCTGTGGCTCGGCTACCTCAAGTCTGTCTTCAACCCCATCGTCTACTGCTGGAGGATCAAGAAGTTCCGCGAGGCCTGCATCGAGCTGCTGCCCCAGACCTTCCAAATCCTCCCCCGGGTGCCCGAGCGGGTCCGAAGGCGCGTCCAGCCCAGCACCATCTACACGTGCAGCGAAAACCAGTCGGCTGTCTAGCCAGAGGCGGTGGGTGGAGGGGCACAGGGCCTGGGGCCTGGGCCCGGCTGTCCTGCTCTGCCTCCTGGCCCTGAGCCCCAGGGGCATGCTGTGGCGGCCAGTGAAGCACAAAGGTGCTCATCTGTGACAAGCAGCTGGGCGAATGGTTTCTGTGTTTTGCTGCAGGAGAGCAGGGGTGGGTCCGATGGAGGCTTTAGGAGGAAGGTGCCTGGAACTGGAAGGGAGCAGGGAGCGGGCAGACAGTCAGGGAAGAGGAGGGAGCAGGGTTGGGCGGGTGAGTGTGTGCAGGAAGAAGACTCTGCTTAGGAGAAAGCCTGTGGTTTCCTTACATTGATCACATGAGCGTTCCCACCAGGCCACATCGTCCTTTCCATAAACCAAGATCACGCTGGGAGCAGCGGGGGCCAGGACCTCAGCTCTCGGGAGGGCAGGTGGGAGGCTGGGGCAGCTCAGTGGAGAGGAGGAGCCCACGGAGTGTAGGATGTGTACCCGCCTCTCCTGCCGGCCCAGCACACCCAGGGCCCTCCATCCTCCTGTCTGCCAGGACCATCCCTCTGCCCCTCTTTCTCTCCCTGCTTCTCCTGCCTCCCTTTGTTCTCACTCCATCCTCGCCAGGGGGCAGAAGAGGCACAGTCCTTCTCTTGTAATTCACCTTCTGGGCAAGTACTGGAAGCGACTTGCTTCCTATCTCCGAAGTGGTCCTGGGCTTGTTTACACTTTTCCTCCGAACACACTGAGGCTGCAGCCTCCCGAGCTGCCACATGGACTTCTGCGCTGGACCTGCTGGCAGGGGCCGGACAGACCCTGGCAGACACGGCCTGCCGCAGGTCCCCGCGGACCTCTGTGCTCCTACCTCATCCTGCGCCGTCCTCGGGGCCGCCCGCCTGCTCGGGGCCGTGGTCCTCCGAGCCCGGCAGGACTGGGCCCCGGGAGTGAGGCTGCCGACGGGAGCTAGGCTGCTTGCGCTGTGCCCTTGCCACCCGGCCAAGGTCACCCATTACTCCAGAGCTTCTGACATAGGGTAGGTTTTCCCGAATTTGAGGCACACCACTAAGTCCATACAGTTCTTTTTACAGTTTCCGATCTGAAGAGAGTGGGAAATTTAGGGAGAAATTCATAAAATCTGAACCCAAGTCTAACTCTAACAGGAGCTAGTGTGTGAGCTTGTTCACGTCACCCGACTTCTGTGGGCCTGTTTCCCCATTTACCCGGCGAAGAAGCAAGTCTACGTGATCTCCCACGTCCCTTTCAGCTCGCAGACACTCAGATTCTAAAAGGGTATCTTGTCTGCTCGTAGTTACAGTTCCTGTATTTGTTTATTTCCCACACCATGAGCCTTTATTAAGTGCCTGCTAGGCGCAAGGCACTGTGGGAGAAGAGGGATGAATAAGGCCTGGGCTGTACCCAAGGGCAGTTGCCCAATTTATCTCAAGATCATTGTACCTCAAGCCTGGCCTGCGTGGCTCAGTGGCTGAGCATCAACCTATGAACCAGGAGGTCATGGTTTGATTCCCGGTCAGGGCACATGTCTGGGCTGTGGGCTCCATCCCCAGTGGGGAACGTGCAGGAGGCAGCTGATCAATGATTCTCTCATCATTGATGTTTCTCTCTCCATCTCCCTTCTTCTCAGAAATAAATAAAAATGTATTTCTGAAAACATTATTTAATTCAAATTCGACCTAACGCAGATGCTCCCTTCTCATTGCTCTTCTCGGTTCCTTGCCCAGGTTGTAGGAAGAGGCCAGCTCCCCATCTCGCATTCACTTCCTGTGGTGCTGGTGACAGGCAGGGAAGGGCGGGATCACAGAGAACATAATTTCTGTTATCCAAGCCCAGAGCAGGATTTGCTGTGAAAATGACTGGTACTTTTTCTCACTCACTTTACCCAGGTGCGGAGAGAAAGAAGGTGAGCAGGTGGTGGTGATTGAGATGGCCTGTCAGTTCGTGTCCCAGTGCTCCCAGCAGGGTCAGGATTTGCCTTTGGCTCCCATTCAGTTCAGCCTTAGTGGGCCCAGAGCACAGCCAGCCCCCAGGGCCAGGCCAGTGGCCACCTCCTCCCGTGGGCGTTTAAGAAAATGTTCCCCCAGAGCCTTGAGTAAAAGAGAAATCACAAAACTGAATGAATGAATGAATGAATGAATGCAGGTACCAAAATTTACACCTGTCGGTGTTATAGGATGTATGTTGAAAAGTAATGTGTTTCAAACTAATAATTTTGTACATATTTTTAAATAAAGTGTTATTGCTCTTTCTGTGTATAAGACTATGCTCTTGCCATAATTAGCACCAAGGCCATGAACAGTAAGCCAGCCACCTGGAGTCCGGTGCCCCCTAAGACACAGCAACCTCAGGAAACGCAGAGCTGGCAGTTACTCCAGTGCTGGAGTGGCTGACGGACACAGGGCAGATGAAAACCAGGAGACGGTGTGAGCAGTGGGCTCAGTGGTGGTGATCGCTTTAAATCACGGCCCTACTGAGTAACCTGTGGTCTTCCCCTCCGCCTCCAGCAGCCTCTCCCTCGCCGAACCTCTACCTCCTCCCCTGAGCCCTGCCCAAGGCCCAGGCCCTGCCCAAAGCAGCTGTCCGAGCTGTCTCCTGTGAGCAGAACAACCTCGGCTCTTTCAGTCTGTGTTTCTGTCTCTTCTTTAGCCCTAGAGTCACCCAAATCCGGAGCCTGAACAGGGGGTGACGACGGTAGTGACTCCCCAGGTTCCGTGGGAGAAAGCTGAGGCGTGTCTCAGAGGAGTCATCCCGATTCCGAGTCCCCTGGGAAATCCACTGCCTTTTCATTTTGGATCTTGCTCCCTCCTGTCGGGGTGAGGTTACCCAGGGCGTCCTGCCAACCCAGATAAGTGACGAAAATCTAGATCAATTCCTACTTGGCTGTTCTGAGACCTGGGTGTGCTTTCCCCTTGTGTGACTACCAGCGCACTTTTGGGGCTAAAAGCCTGCTGGTTAAGTCTTTACAATGTTGCTCTGCCCCCTTGCTCACACAGTCGGCAGCCCCACCTCCCAGGGCCCCCGAAGTCTGAGTGCCAGCACCCCGGCTTTGCTCCTAGGAAATGCACAGGAGGTGGGGGGTGGGCCGTGGAGCCAAAAGGCACACCTTCCTCAAACCCAGGGGCACCTTGCTCTCTGCTTGATTCCGGGCAAGTGACTTGGTGTCCCAGCTTTCTCAGCTCCTGGGCAGTGTAGACACGCCCACCCACGGGGTCCAGGAGGGGAAATGAATGGTGCCCATGAAGGGTCCGGTCCCTGCAGGCCATGGCAGCGGCTGCACACACGGCGGCAGGAATGACTACAGGTGTACTGGCCATTTGCTCTAAGGCCAACCTTTGTACTCAGGGCAAGGGCAGCAATTTGTTTCAGAACTGGCTGCTGGTTTCTTTTCTCAGGTGGCCCTAAATTTCGGGGTTCTGTTGATAAGAACACAACATCTACAGGAGCCAGGAGCACAGGTTTGGCTTTAAAGAGCGGCATTCCCGATGGCTGGGCTGCAGCACTGGGTGGTGTCCGAACTGTCCCCGGGCTGCGAGCTGCCTCACGGCGCCAGGAGGACAGAGCCGTGGAGCCCTTTCCGGGCACATCCTGGGGCACGCTGCTCGGAGGGGTTCCGTGTGCAGAGCTGAGCAGGGTTATGAGCATGCAGGGAAGTGGGAGGGAGGCAGGAGCGTGACAAGGGGGAGGGTGGGGCTGCTTTAACAGGCGCCCAGCTGGAAGTGCCTGTGAAGAATAACCCTGTGTCCCTCACTGAAGTCCAGGGCAGTGGGCAGGTTCTCGGCCGGGAGCGGTTCGGGGCTCCCTCCTCCGGTCCAGGTGCCTGCTGGCCCCCGAGGAGAGGACAGGGTGTGGGGAAGCAGGGAGGTAAGACACCCACAGTCCCCTGGGCTTCCCTGTCAAGACTGAGTCACATGACCACACAGCTGCACCAGAGGCTGGGAGGGGAGCCTACACTCTGGAGCAGTGGTCCTCAGCCTTCCTAATGCCGCGCCCCTGTAACACAGCTCCTCATGCTGTGGTGACCCCAACCACAAAATCATTTTCCTTGCTACTTCATGACTGTAATGTTGCTGCTGTTATGAATCGTAATGTAAATATCTGTGTTTTCCGACGGTCTTAGGCTCCACAGCATAATTTTATGGTTGGGTCACAACATGAGGAACTGTATTAAAAGGTTGCGGAATTATTATAGAAAGATTGAGAAGCACTGCTCTAGAATGTGTGCTAGCTGTGACTTTCTTAGCCTGGAAGAAGAGGAGAAGGATTTGGTGTGTTCCCAGCAGCCTCTGCCAAGACATGCACAATTTTGAAAAACAAGGGATCCTAGCACCTACACAAATTCTCACGTCTGAAATAGAAATCGCATCACTGGCCCTTTCCTTGTTGTAACGTAAGCACATCTCTGTCACAGTAACCCGGGAGGCTGCCTCACTCTCCACTCCCCCCCCCCCCCCACATACAGGGACCCGCTCCCGGACAAGAGACTGCAAGCACTTATACCTGTGCCAAGGAAGAGAGGAACCACAGGCAACCTTTTACACACAGATGTGGGACAGGAGGGCTAACCTGAAAATTTGCAGCCACAAAAAGATAAAGTTGCCAAATAAGAAAAAAAAAATACTATTTAGAACAAAATCAACAGTGAATGAAAGTTCAATTCGTTGGTGCATGGGCAGGCAAAATAGCAATTTTAGACAGTGAATAAGGAAAATGGAATTTATTTAAAGAAAAGGAGTTGGAGGATGGGAATATCCAAAGGGAAGGGCTGCACGGCACCGAGCGAAAGGGAACTGGATGGATGATGACAGCCCTTCGGAGCTCAAATCCTGCCTCATAAGCAGTCAGTGGCAGGAAGCTTTTGTCATCAATGGGTTTGGGGGGCGTGGGGGGCGGCCTTGGGCAGTAGGTTGGGTCAACAGGAATGCCACGAGGGTGCTTTTGGCAGTTTTAGCTCCTTAAATGGTTTGATTCCTGGTGTCTGGCATTTCTGGTCCGACAAG